AAAATTAATTAAAAAAAAAAAAGAATCACTGCCAGATCTGGGCATGGTGGTGCATGCCTGTCATTCTAGTACTCTGGTAGGCTGAGGCAGGAGGCTCACAAAGTCAAGCCCTGCTGGGGCAACTTTGTGATTTAGGGAGATCTTGCTTCAAAATTAAAAAATAAAAAACATGCTAGGGATGTAGCTCAGTACAAAGACCCTGGGTTCAATGCCCAGTATTAAAAAAACAAACAATAAACAACAACAACAACAAAAACAACAAACTTCTAGGAGCAATGTATTAGGTAATGGCAGGTGGGTGGGAGTGATGTCCTGCTGGAGCTTTGGGGTGTAGAGCTGAGGGGTTGAAGCATCTGCAACATGCGAAGCACCCCTGAGAAGCTGGGGTCACAGGAGGGATATACTCACTTTCCACTAGGAGGGTCCAGGTGCAGGACACCTGGCCTTGGCTATTGGAAGCTGTGCAGCTGTACTGGCCACTGTCCCTGGCCCGGGCTCTCAGCAGGCAGAGGTAATGGGATCCCCCGTGCTCATAAACCTCAGTGGTGCCTTCTCTTGTCTGCACAGGGATACCTTCCAGGAACCAGGCCACTTCAGGCTTCGGGATCCCTGAAACTACAGGCAGGTGAAGAACATGAGGTCCTCTCACCCAAGGGAGGCACACTGTGCTCGCAGAGTGGAAGGAAGTGCTCAGGCGGGGTGGGGCTCCTTCCCACTCTCTAGCCTGCTTGCTTACCTGAAGCTTGCACTCGATGGGAATAAAGATAAGCCTAGGTCCTCAGGGAAGAGGAATGCTAGGGTGGTGGTACGCAAGGCCAGGAAGAGGAATAAAGAGGAGAGAAGATGGCTGCTGGTGTTCTCATGATGGCAATGGTGAGAGTTGTGTTCCTTCTAGGGTGGTGAGAATTAGGGCACTGGCCAATGCTGTATTTTATAAGCAACAACAGACCACTGGTGGGTGTCTCTCCAGAATGAAGGACTTTTCTAGACTGAATCTTCCTGAAGGGAAGACCCCTGGAAGGTGGCATCCTGTGGACCCAGTGAAGGGGGTTTGGTGCGGAAGCAATGGAGTGGCCAGTAGGAGGCTGGCTTTTGGGAACTGGGAACCTTACCAGATCTACTCACCTTCGCACCTGAACTTGACTGTTTCATGTTCGCTGACTTCTAGGCTTTGGGGCTTGTTCTCAAACTTGGGCAATGTTGACTCTCTCTGGCTTTCCATGGGGGTTTTCCTGGTGGCAACTGTACTCACAACTTCTGGGCTTTCCAGGCCAGACCAACTGGTGGGGTGGGTGGCTGGCTGGGAAGCAGCTGGTCTCTTCTGCTCTTCTCCAGAAGGAGACAGAGCCCCCAAGGTTGGTGCTCTGGGTTCTGGCTGGACTTTTGTGGCCTGCAGGGTGATGGTGCTGGAAGTCTTCTGGACCTTTCTTGGGGAGTCCCTGCACGGCTCTGGTTCAGTCTCCCACAGGGAATGTGAAGGGCTGTTTGTGACCCAGGCCAGAGAGCCACCTTTCTGCAGGCTGGAGCTATTCTTACTTCCGGCCATTGTCTCCAGGCTGTCCAGTTTCAGCCCCTTTTTGATTCCATTGGTCACCTCCCTCCTCATGTCAGCATCAGGGGCCTTTGTTTCTCTCACAAATGACCTGTGGTATGGTGGTGGGTTGAGAGGGAGGAGGAGGAGCAGAGTAATCATCTGGTTATTCACAAACATTCTCCTTGTAAGCACAGATTCCAGGAATCACAAAAACCCACAGATTAGGGGAGAGGAAGAGCAGTATTTCTCTGCACTTTGTTCAGTGTCCCAAGCCAGAGCACCAGAGCTGTTTTTGTTTTTTGGTACTGGGGATCAAACTCGGGTCCTTTTGCTTTCGAGGCAGGTGGCGGCACCACTGAGCTAAATCCCCAGCCCCCAGGGCTGTTTTTGACCCTTCCTGTCCTTACCTTCATCCAGAGCTCTGTTTATCTATACTTCTGTTCTCCTTGGGGGCCCCAAGTCCAAACCACCCAGCTGGCGTGCCTGCTCTCATAGGCCCTCTCTAATCCAATTCTACTCAGCAAGTGTAGTTAATCTTTCAAGGACATAAATTATAACACCTGAAGCTGTAGGACTTTCCACAAGCTTTCTAATCTCTTCAGAATAAAACTGAGCATCGTAAGGTGCTTTTAAGTGAGCTTGCTCCAGCTCCCTGTGGACCCTCAGAAGACACTGTCACACTGCCAGCCACACTGTAGCCATACCAGTGTTCTTCTGGGACCCCCACAGGCCCCCTCTCCTCTCAGAGCTCACACACACTGTTCCCTCTGTTTGGAACACATTCTCTTGGGATTTTCTTTGCCTGCTAAAATTACAATTCACAGGTCTGAGCTCAAATATGTAGTTTGCAGAAAGGGTTCTCCTAGCCTTGAAGTCTGAATTAACATCTCTGTCATTCTTCATCACAAATAGGTCACAGTAGTAAGTACAAGTTTGAGTGACTGTTTAAGCTCTGCTCACAGTAGGCAGCTGACTCACCCTATGTACCAAGGCCTAGTTCTGGGCCTCACACATAGGAGAGAAAGCTTCTTGTGACTGTGGGCTGAGTGAGCATGTGGATTCTGGCCTGGTGTCTATAAAGTCTTCCCAAGCATGGCTAAGTTGGGGATATAGAGGAAGATGGCAGCATGGAGTTTTTATGAGTCTTGATACTGCTAGCAACCTTCATTCACAACTGGAGGGCATACTAGGAAAGGAGAACAAAGCAGAACATCCCAAATAAAAGTACCCTAAATAAAAACACTCTTAAACCCAGGTGAATCTTCCTTGCTACAAGATGACTAGGAAAATTCAGGGCATTTTCCCATGACTCCCTCCTTTCCTTGCAAGATATCCCAAGGTGGAAAACAAGAATCACAAAGCCTAGCCATACCTGTTGACCTTGTCCAAACCTGGAAGAGGAGGGAAGAACAAAAAGACAGTTACTGGAATATTTCATATGCCTAGAGGAGAAAATGATAAGACAATATCCCTTCCTTATATTACAGTTTTCATGCCCCAAATGTCCCTGCCACGATGGTCCCACCCCATCTCACTGCTTCCAGCCTCGCTGGTGCCGAACCTCTTTGGTTGGTCTGAGAAATTCCTCTCATCCCTGGAGAGACTGTTCAAGTTTCCAGTGTGTGTTTTTGAGTACAGTAAGTCCCCAAGTTATGAACATTCTAGTTATGAGCTTTCACGGATATGACAGGACCTTGCATTGTGAACATTCGAAGAGGCAAACAAATCACAGAAGTAGCTCATGTGTCTGCAGGACATTGTCACAGGTTTGTATGTTGTGTGCTTACTGTATAGTGTGATAGTGTACAGTATTTTTTTGTGTGTATTTGGTATTTTAATGCTTTACATTGTATATCTGTGTCAAAGGTGTATAAGACTCACTTTGTTGGACTTACAAATGAATCTGACTTTGAATGTTCTCCCAGAACAGAACTTGTTCATAAGTTGGGGACGTGCTGTACTTTAAAACAAATCCCAGGCAACATATCATTTTGTCATTAAGTACATTTTAAAATTCAAGGCTAGGGTAAGTGAAGGGACAGTGGCTGAAAATTCTACTCCAGATGCTTGATAGCAAGTCCTGACATGCAGGGAGATGTGAATCACATTCTTTGATCAGAACCAGGATTTCTTGTTTTAGCGGTTCCACTGGAATAGAAAATATACCAGCATGTACTGAACACAGAATGAGTCAGGACTGTTTCATGAAATGTGTCTCAGTTAAATGTGTCTATATGTGCACATGTATTCTGGGTTGCAATGTAAAATAAATTTCTTTCTGTGGATTGTGAAAAATACTTGAGCCAAAAAGGTACATGCAGCAAGGTGACATAGTTTCTGAGAAAGGAAGGAGAGGCAAAAGAGAAAAGTCATAGAAGGAAAGGGAAAGGTGAAAGTCACTTCCCCTCCTGAGCCTCAAGCAAAAGCCGATTCTGTGACCAGTGAGGTCTGTGTCCACTGGAGATCAAGTCCAGTGATGTGGCATTCAGCCCCCTCCCCGTGTGCACACTGTGGCTTCCCCAGTCTGTACTGGGAGCAACTACGAGGAGTGAATGGAGGACACGTATTCAGAGAGATCCCAAAGGAAAAACTGACAGTGGATGATGACCCAAGCACGAGACAGGCAGGCTAACCAGTCTGGGGAGAAGACCATGGGGATCCTGGTGGAACGAGTTAAGTTGAGGGGACATTTGATTTGAAGGACAGAGTGGCTAACAAGCTCAATTTAGTCAGGGATGATGGCAAGACATCAGCAATGTCCACTCCTTCAATCAGTGGAAGTACAAATAAGGTGTGTGAACAAGAAGGAAGGACAGAAGAGAGAGGGCTGGGGTCAAGTGTAGGGTCAGAAGTGAAGGGATAGCCAGTTCACAGCTCTTCCTCTAGGGTCAGGTCAGTACTGCTTTCTTCTTGTCCAAAACCCTGCCCCAGGGAACGTACAGGTACGTAAGGAACAAGTGTCCAGCACCAGGAAGGGGTCCCTGTGCGCCACACCCCTTACCTGGCGTAAGGGATGGAGAGCTTACCTGGGATGGAGAGCTCTGCCGACATGGAGGCCTTTCCTGACCCGTTTACCACCAGGCATGTGTACATGCCCACATCCTCCTGGGTGACCGCACGAATTTCCAGGACCTGCATCCCATTCTTCTCAGACATAGAAACACGGGCACTCGGCTGCAGTGCGACATTTCCCTGTGGATGGCAATAGGATAGCTGGGTCACAGAAATTTGCTCACCTTTTGGCACTATTTGACTCCTGTGGGACAGACCTCTGCTCTAAGCTGTCATGCTCAGAGGACAGTGTGGACCAGTGAGCATCCTGCATTGAGGTCTGTGTATAGGAGATGGTTTTAGGTCCAGCTTAGAGCAGATGCATGGGAAATGTTTCAAAGGAGCCTAGACTTGAGATAGGGAATCCTGTATTCCTCACTTCAGTTTGTCTTTGCCTCTCCTCTACCTGTTCCAGATGTTCCTCGCTGTCCTGCGCACCCCCACCCCATCTCATTGGCTCTTCCACCTCTATTCACTTTCCCAGCCCTGAATGATTGCTAATGTGATTCCACCTGGAGTGTCCTAACGTTCTGAGGTAGGTAGCATTCTGTACCTCACAGATAAAGAAACAAGATTCCAGAGATTGAATGACATGTTCAGTGTCTCATGCTTTCTGAACAGGGAGCTGTGGCCTTAAACCTAGTAACCTAACTTCAAATTCCACTCTCTTGAAATGTTCCAGTCTGAACTCAGAAGTTTTATGCTGTTTTCTGAGTGTGAGGATTACAGGAACACTATGGTCTGAATAACAGAGGGAGAGCATGCAAATGGGTAAACACATGCATCACTGTCAAACACAAAAGAACCCTCGAGAACTGCCTACTGCTGAAACAGAAGGAACTGATTAGAAAGACAGACTTCTACTAATCCAAGGGTCTAACCCTGAACTCCTAGACTTCACTGGCCTGGGTCAGAGCCAGGCAGACAAAACCTTACCTTGAGCCAGGTGACCTGAGGTTGGGGCCGCCCAGTGACCTTGCAGGAGAATCGTCCCATATGTCCTTCTTTGACCACTGCTCGGCCCAGCTTGGTGGCAAACTTTGGTGGGCACTCACCCCAGATGCTAGGACGTGTTTCCACTCCTAGGGCTGAAAATCTGTCCCTGGAAAAATGTCAGCAGAGAATCCAGCCCTAGACAAGTTACCTATTCAGTCTCCCTTTCTCCACCCCATCCAAGTGCCTTACCTACCCCAAAGCTACACCTGAAACACTTTCTCCTGCCTTTCTGGAAAAATGTGTATCACCAAAACCTATTTCCTACACCTCCTTGGTGTGCAACTACACTCATTTACCTGACTCCCTTGTAGCTAGGGATACCTGAATTCTGAGCTCTGCCGAATTCCTGGGTTTTGGTCATAGACCATAAATGGAAGTGTTGTATGCAACGGCTGGCTCATGGAAAACTCCTACAGGATAACCCACACTCTTTCCTGCCACCTCTAGATACAGAGGCTCTGGAGAGGGGCTTACCAAATGGAGGAAGAAGCCTTGGCTCCTGGAAGAGAATGTGGAAAGCTCTTTACCTGTTCAAAAGCATCTGGATTGAACCTTCCTTCACTGAGAAATAAACTTTCTCCACATTGAATCACGGCCATTTGGAGCTTGTCTGTGACAGCAGCTACTGATAATTGCCTAGTCAAATCCGCTCATTAAATCCTTCTGACTTGCCTGTGTTAGAGTCCCTTGAAGACTATGGTCATTCTCTACTCCCTTAGCATTTAGCAGGTGGGCCAAAGAGGCCCACCCTTTAGTTACAACCTAGGATACCCAAGAAGACTTACTCCATGGGCCTATCCTGGTCAAGTCAGCAGGAAAAGCCAAGCCAATCCTTACTCTAGCTTAGACATCCCAGAACTTACCCCAGGCTTTTGGAAGCAACAGGATGACCACGCTTCTTGGCAAAACTCTCTGCAAGTATGAAACAGAAAGATGTTGAACAGTCAGGTGTGTGCCACCAATGTAGTGCAGTGAAAGTCAGAAGATTCCACAACAGGGGAAGGTGGGCAATGGTGGTAACAGTTCACTCTGGTGAGCATGTGCTAAGTCACCAGGGGTAGGGGGCTAGGAACTCCACACACATTATCATGTGAATTTCTTGCAATAACTTAATGTGGCTGGTACTACACTATCCTATTTGTTAAATGTATGAGAAAAATAAGATTCAGAGAAGTTAAGTCACCCATGCAAAGTCAGAGAGCCTAGAACAGGAATTCACCCAGGCCTGCCAGGTTCTAGAATATTCAAGCACTCTGCTGAGTTGTAAGGTGTCACCCTGGAACATCCATTGTGGGGGTTAACCTTCCAGAACATGACACACTTCAATGGGAGGAGGGATATGCCCGCTTACATCTCCTAATAGGTCTGAGGAAGGCCCAGCAAATATCAAATTGAAATGGAGCAGGGAGGATCATTCCAGATGAGCTACAATGCAGCCAGCACCTTCCGTAAAATCTACAGTGCTGCCCACTGGGCACTGCCAGGTCTGGGAGAGAAGGTGCTGATCCTGGTGAGCTGCTGAAATGCTTGTTAGGAAGCAGTTAAACAGCAAACCCAGACAGACAGCCAGGGCCAGCGCATTTTATCCAGCTGCTGCAACTAAGGAGGGACAATTCATAAGGTGACCAGGAAATAACTTGTGGGTTATTTTTCTTCTTCTTTTTTTTTTTTTTTGG